GGTGTGAGGAGGAGGGAGGGAGGGAGAGAGAGGGAGGGAAGAGGAGGGTCAAAGAAAGATGTGAGGAGGGGAGAAGGGGAGGAGGAGGAGGGAGGGAGGAAGGTGTGAGGAGGAGGGAGGGAGGAAGGTGTGAGGAAGAGGAGGATGGGAGGAGGGTGTGAGGAGGAGGGAGGAAGGAAGGCATGAGGAAGAGGAGGGAGGGAGGAAGGTGTAAGGAGGAGGGAGAGAGAGAGAGGGAGGAAAGAGGAGGGTCAAAGAAAGATGTGAGGAGGGGAGAAGGGGAGGAGGAGGGAGGGAGGAAGGTGTGAGGAAGAGGAGGGTGGAAGGTGTGAGGAGGAGGAAGAGGAGGGTGGGAGGAGGGCAGAGGGAGGGAAGAAGGTGTGAGGAGGAGGGAGGGAGAGAGAGGGAGGGAAGAGGAGGGTCAAAGAAAGATGTGAGGAGGGGAGAAGGGGAGGAGGAGGGAGGGAGGAAGGTGTGAGGAAGAGGAGGGAGGGAGGAAGGTGTGAGGAGAAGGAGGAAGGAGTGAGAAAGGTGGGAGGAAGGAGTGAGGAGGAGGAGGGAGGGAGGAAGTGAAAAGGAGGAGAAGGGAGTGAGGAAGGTGTGAGGAAGGAGGGAGGGAGGAAGAGGAAGGTAGGAGGAGGGAAGGAGGAAGGCATGAGGAACAGGAGGGTGGGATGAAGGTGTGAGGAGGAAGAGGGAGGGAGGAAGAATAGGGAGGGAGGAAGGCTGGGTGCCCCAGGTACCTGTAGCAAGTCAAAGGTGACAACTCCATCCTGGTCCACGTCCATCGCTTGGAAAAACCCTGTGGGGAGGGAGAGGGTGGGAATTTGGTGGGGAAAGTGGGGAAAACGGGGCAGGATTGAAGGGGCAAAGCTGGGAAAACCCAGCAGGATCGATGGGGGGAAACTGGAAAAATGGGGCAAAATTGGGGGAAATCACAATTGAAGGGGAAAGTTGGAAAAACTCAACACTTTTCCTCATAAAACCTGTGGAAAAATGAAATCCTGGGAAAAGCTGGAAAATCCCAACAGGTGTTAAAGGGAAAAACTGGAGAAGTTTGGAGAATGTAGCAAAAAAACCCAGGAAAAGCTGGAAAACCCAGCAGGGTTTAAGGTCAAAACGTTGGGTAAAACCAAGGGTTTTTGTCCCAAAGTGCAAAAAAACCAGCAGGAACGAAGGGAAAAACTTGGGATAAAAAAGTGTTATTTTCCAACTTTTCCCCTTGGATCCTGCTTTTCTCTTCCTTTTTGTGCTCATTTTTTCCCTGCTAACGCCACTGGGTTTCCCACTTTTCCCCTTCATTCCTTGGAGGTTTTGCTAATTTTTCCACAGGAAAAGGAGGAAAAGAATTTAAATTTGGGTTGTTTGGGTTTTTTTCCTCAATTTTTCTGGTTCCATCCTGTGGGAATTGGGGTAGGAGTGGGAAGAGGGGGGGGAGGGCACTGACTGAACATGGTCTCCAGGCGCACGAGGCAGCAGACGAAGTTGTCGAAGTCGATGGCCAGGTCGGGCTCGGCGTAGCGGGTGATGATCAGTTCGTGCAGCTTTTTGTTCAATTTGTAGCCTTTTTGGGCAAAAAACCAATTGATAAAAGAGTTGATTCAAACCTCAGAGGGTCTTCATGAATCCCCCGGGGTTAATTGGTGGGTTAAGCAGTCGTGGAACGGTTGGGAAGGGAGTTGAAAGATCAGCCGGTGTCGAGTCCTGGGCGTGGGTGGGGACACGTCCCACCAGGCTGCTCCAGGGCCCATCTATGGAGTCCTGGGATGGTTTGGGTGGGAAGAACCTCAAAGATCATCTAGATCCAACCTCCCACCAGCCCAGGCTGCTCCAGGGCCCATCTATGGAGCCCTGGGATGGTTTGGGTGGGAAGAACCTCAAAGATCATCTAGATCCAACCTCCCACCAGCCCAGGCTGCTCCAGGGCCCATCTATGGAGCCCTGGGATGGTTTGGGTGGGAAGAACCTCAAAGATCATCTAGATCCAACCTCCCACCAGCCCAGGCTGCTCCAGGGCCCATCTATGGAGCCCTGGGATGGTTTGGGTGGGAAGAACCTCAAAGATCATCTAGATCCAACCTCCCACCAGCCCAGGCTGCTCCAGGGCCCATCTATGGAGCCCTGGGATGGTTTGGGTGGGAAGAACCTCAAAGATCATCTAGATCCAACCTCCCACCAGCCCAGGCTGCTCCAGGGCCCATCTATGGAGCCCTGGGATGGTTTGGGTGGGAAGAACCTCAAAGATCATCTAGATCCAACCTCCCACCAGCCCAGGCTGCTCCAGGGCCCAAGAACTGGATCCAGTTCTCCAGGTGGGATCTCAGAGAGCCAAGGAAAAGGGGACAATCCCCTCCCTGCCCCTGCTGGTGACACAGCCCAGGACACGGGTGGTCTCTGGGTTCCAGCCCATGTGGAGTTTCTCCACCACCATCACCCCCAACTCCTCCTCAGCGCTGCTCTCCATCCTTTCTCCACCAAACCTGGATTTGTGCTTGGAATTGCCATCCCCCATCCAAGTGCAGGACCTTGACCCTTTGTTGAACTCCCAAGAGGTTGTTCTGGTCCCACAAACCTCCCCAGCCTGGCCAAGTTCCCTCTGGCTGGGTCCTCACCTGCTGCTTCCAGCGCCATCCGCATCTCGTAGGCGCTCATGCTGCCCGACTTGTCCAGGTCGAACTTGCGGAAGATGGACTGGAAACCAACCCCCCCCCCAAAAAAAATGGGGGTCACCCATGAGGGGATACTTCTAACCTGCAAAGCTGCGTTTCAGCAACTGCTCAGCTGATGAGAACTGACCCGGGGGGGGATGCACCCGTGGGCCAGGGGAGGTCCAGCCCCCCCTCCACTGGGGTGG